TCATAATTCAACAAAAGAAGTTACATCCCTCAAACTCGGGATTTTTTAAATACATGTTTTCCATATGTCATCATAAATTTACTGGTTTCCATGTGTTGGTTACATCCCCCGCCATTTTTTTTTGAAGTCTTCGCCGCATCGCGAAAAGCGTCAAACGGAAAAAGGCGCCTTGATGTCCTTGCGCGGTTTGGAAGCCAACGTGTCGGAGTACTTCTTGTGGAGCTTCTCCCACACCTGGGAAAAGTGAAACGAACTTTGGATTTTTTTTGAAAAAAATGCTGGAGATTGTAGCTGATACAAAAGGGTTTTTACATATATATATATATATACAATTATATATATATATACCCGTATATATATATATTATAAATATATTATATATATATTATATATATAATATGCTGTATATATATACTCCGGGGTGAGAATGCCACGCACTAAGTACATGGCGCAACACCCATTAACATAGCGTGCGCACCTGAGCCATCTTTTTCCGACGCAACACGGGTAAATACATATTTAGTTTTCGGTCGAAGATGTTGAATCTGTGGAATTTTCGCAACCGGGTGCGCACAGTTTGGCCATGCTTGCAACTGCCATAGATGGCGCAACTCCAGAAACACAGGGGAACCTCCCGATTTTGCAGCCACATAGATGGAAACTCACAAATTTCATTAAATTTAAGCAACATCCACTTGCGCATTTGGATAGAACCTGGCATCCGTAGATGGCGCAACTCCCCGTGTTGCGCCATCTACTTTCACACGGGCAAATTTCTAGTTTTTCCTCAGATTCCTATTGTTCCAAATACCGGTGTCCACGCCATCTATTGAGTCCGCCTGAAAAGTGTAGTCGGCGCCTGGTATTTTGACCCCAGTGTGTATATATTTAACGTACATATAAACCCTGTATAATAAATATATAATTAAATAAATATATATATATATATTACATGGCACCAACAAACCTGATTACCCATGGTGAAGATGATGACAAAATGATGATGATGATGATGCTGATGATGATGATGATAAAGATGATGATGACGATGGCGATGACGATGATGATGATAATGATGACGACGATGGTGATGACAATGATGATGACAATGGTGATGACAATGATGATGGCAATGGTGATGACGACGATGATGATGATGACGATGATGATGATTATGATGAGGAGAATGACAACAATGACGTTGATGACGATGTTGATGACGATGTTGACGACGACGACGACGACGACGACGCCGACGACGACGACGACGACGAGGATGATGATGATGATGATGCTGATGATGATGACATGTGGAGATGTATGTGTTTACATACATATACATCTATACACTAAATGTATGTGTATATATATAACCGGCAATCAAAGACAAAACGCTTGAAAGACATATCATGAGACATCCTTGTCGTGCTCCCAAGTACCGTCTAAGAAGACTCCGGTGAAAGGTGATACTTGATGTGGTTGCGCATCAACAGATTGGTAACCTGGTGAACAGCAAAATAGATAAACATAGCTGGTACATCCGCCGTAATATGCTATACTAAGTGTTCACCCAAATATATGATGTTTGATGTACTGGTATTTTCTACGAGAAATCATTCTCACTGCCTGCGAGCATACTGAATCCTGGAAATAGAAGGAAATGTTCCCAAAAGCCGGACTGTTGAATCGCAAACTCATTGTTTTGTTGGGATTTGGTGCCTCTCAATACCTGATGGATTTCCCATCACCTGAAGCATTCTGTGTTCGGGAACTACCCTCAACCAAAGCTGCTCAGGACTGGATCACAACAATGATATCATAAGGATACATATATGCATATATATATATATATATACACTAGACATAAAACGTTTATGTTCAGTTTGGTGCTTAAACCCCTCTACATGGTGTTTTCTTCACATCAAGTCACTGAGCCACTGCGTCCAAGTGAATAACCCCGTCTGGAATTCATTCATTTCCTAAGCTTTGGCCCCAAGTGATGAGAGAACACACTTCCCGCCGTCCTCAAGTCTATGGTTGATGTATGGAGCTTTCTGTTGCACTTTGAACCTGCAGTTTCTGTGCAAACATGTGGTGCCTTTACCCGCAATTGAAGGTTTTCTGGGTCCATGTGAAATACCCCAAAGCGATAAGTTAAATCTCTGGTTTCTATTCATTTCTGATGTATTCTGCAACTAGTGCTATGATTTTCCCACTTCCATGAGTGCAGTGTTGGGGAGCAAGAAATGATGTGGCCGTGCTGGTAACTCACAACAAGGGTGTGCCTGAAAACGGTGAAAATTGAAGTTCTATTGACTGGGAAAATTATGCTACACCATAAAAACGAATGGGGGTAGACCATTTTCAGAAAAAAAAACGCAGGAATATCATTTTTGGGCAACCCGGTTTTGACCCATACCCACCTGTACCACAGTATGAACATGCAGTAAGCATCAATAAGCGGACAATCGGTCTGTCACATGTATATATACCTTAGGAGAATCACCCAACACTTCCTGCTCTTGTCAGGAGATGTTGATCAAATGAGTGGAAGCTTAAAGCTAGAACATAGGTGGAACTCGGACATTCTAGTGAAACCCTGTCACTTCTACGAGGTACTATAGGACTACAAGAATCATCAGAATTTCTCACCGGGTGCATATTGTTTGCCCTAGGCTTTGAACTTGTAGGGAAATGACCAACACAACTGTGGCTCTGGGGATAGCTTTTGACCCATACCCGCCTGATGTATGTACCAAAATAATCCGCCATAGGTATTGGCTACACTTCCCGGATGTGAAGAGATAATGTTTCTCCCTACCATGCAGCAACCTACCGTGGCTGGGATGTGATTGCCCGCAACATCTTGTTAATCGCAAATAAGCGAAATTGCCGTGGCCAACAAAGGATCCATCAAATCATGATTGAACATTAAACCATGAATGACATGTGTATACATATATATATATATATATTCTTTTTACAATATATACAATATTTCCCGATATATATATATATATATCTATCTATCTATCTATCTATCTATCTATCTATCTATCTATCTATCTATCTATCTATCTATCTATCTATCTATCTATCTATCTATCTATCTATCTATCTATCTATCTATCTATCTACACACACACCATATAGATTCGATATTAACAAATATATTAGTATGTAGCAACGATGATTAATATGTAGCATATAGCCACGCAGAGTATACATACCAAAGATGTACCACCGGGATGACATCCTTCTGGTCGCACGGCGCCCTGGGCCACCGAACTCACCCTCGAACTTTCCCGTCTCTCCTAACCTGGCGACAAAAAAAATGCGAAAAACCTGGAAAACTGAGGGTCAACATGGTTTAACATGGATCAACCATAGACAATGTCCTTCCATTTGCGGAAAAACATGACAAAAAAGGTTTTAGTTGCAATCTTAAAAGTGCTGGTTTTTGATGGCAAAGAGTTAATATCATTTCCAACTTGTATGAAGTTTATCCAGCCCACTTGAACTACATTCGTCTCCTGGGAACGTTCAAAACAAACCTGCCATGTCCATCTAGCCGATGTTGCTCTTTGCGGCTTCGTTGTGGCTCAAACTTTCCCAATCTCCTCCCAAATACAGGGAAAACAAAATAAAGACTAAGATGCAGTAAAATTCTCCAACATTGACGTTGCCAGTTCTCCACCATTTGGCATCAGCGAGAAAACCACTGGATATCATGAGTTTATTCATGGCCTCGCCTGGGGCCACCCCCCGCATAGGCACGCTTGCCAGCAGCAGCAGCCATGAGGCCCACGGATTTCAAGACCCAAGGGTTCTCACAGGTTGGAACCCACAGGAGGAAGATGCACCAGAGATTGAAATCCAGAGATTGATCTTTGGTGAAAATGTGTGAAAATGTGGATTTGTGGTTGCTGCTTGGCCAAAATGGCTCGGGCCCTAAAAATCATGATGCCGGAGAGGTAAGCAAAGACCCAAAGATTAAGAGCTCTTGATTTTTGATGAGAGGAATCACAACGGGGCCTTTTGCATAAAAATACCACACCAAAGGATGCAGTCGAAAAAGCTTGACTTTCCCAAGTTATACCTTCCAGTCGCTGATCATTGAAATCTAGATAAAGTTCAAGGAGTTAGAACCACACAGCATTTGGTGAGTTCTCCTCATTTCCCGCATTGTTGGGCCAACTTCATTGAAGTTTGTCTACATCATTCAGTAGTTGCTGGACCTGTGGTCCGCCTCTATGATCTATACATTTCAGGCTGGGTAAAGTATGCTGTACGTTTAAACATATCTATATAAAATTAAATACATGTATAACCCTTTACTGTATACTCATGTCTGTATTGTATGTTCAAGTATATGTACGCAGTTGTAGTCTAACTTAGTAAATAACATGTCATATAGACGGCAAATTGCATTATATATAGCATATTGTTTGTGTGTAGAATTTATTGTCTTACATGTATTCCGTGTATCTGAAATCAGATACTAATTGTGATATGAATGTTCGTATATACATATGTTATGTTGCATTGCAGATATACATATTAGATCTAATACAAACCTTGCACGTTTATACTTGCACAAATTATACCATATTCATCGATATTCTGCATCATTCTACATCTAGACATGTAAGGTACTCCCAGACATATCTTTCAAATGTGTCTCCTTGCGACCATTTTTCAGCTGACCATGCAGGACTCGGGTCGCTTCGGGGTATTGTGAATGAAATCTCAGGTCCCAATGCTATTTGTGAGCACTGCCGGCACTGGCATCTACTCGTCTCTCTAATCGAGCTTGGAGCGACCAAAAAGTGAGGATTCCAGACATGAGTTGAATGGAGTACTGGGAAGATCAACCAACGGTCGTCTCCCACTTCACTTTGTTTTGAATAAACATCGACTGAGACTCTGACGCTGATAAGAAATGATAAGAATATGTACTTACGATAATCCAGTGGTTTATGACAAGTTTTCCCACAAAAGAATGAATTCAAGTTCCAAAACCAACTGCCAGAAATCTCACTCCATACGGATCGGCGCTTGCATCCTGAATTTAAGATTCATTGGCGATCCTGCTGTGACACTCAGGCAGGCAGCATTGAAGTTTAATCCCACCTGCAAAACAGTCAGCGACTTGAGGTTGGGCCCCATTCGCTGACCAGGAGCCGGGTCCTTTTTCCTGAATGCGTAGAAAGGGTGTGTTCGCTCGACGTTGCGTTTGCGTCCGCAACCGTTCGTAAACGTTCGCAACTGTCCGCAACCGTTCGCAACCGTCCGCGTGAGGTCGCTATGGCTGTGCCTAGGGTGAGTTTTGCAACTGTGGTCACTTTTGGAGGTTTCAGACGTCGCGTAGCCTCGTTTCGCGTGGCAGGCGTGGCACTTTGTGACATTCCAACATGTTTCATAACGTGTTAAAAGTCGCTTTGCGTGGCAGGCACAATACTTTTGCATCGCTCTGAAATGCGTGGCAGGCACAGCACTTTACTTACATTCCTGGCTTTGTTATAAGGAGTTAGCTCAGTTACCATGGGTTAGCATCTTTTGTTAACTATGTGTTATCTATATGTGAACTATGTGCTAACAATGTCTTAACTATGTATATCAAAGGTTAAAATTTAAGTATAATTAACATATGTTGCTATTAAAGTTACTTTTTTAGCTATCTCTAGTTAACTCTGCTAACTCTCTATAACTTTGGGGCCTTTTTTGTTCTGATCCAGTATCATATTTAAGTATATAGTTTACAAGGAAAATGTATCAACATACCTATTTTTATTTTTCAAAATTTGGAAATCAAAATTCATTTGGCCAACACATGAATATAGGGTGGTGACCACATTGAAAATGACCCACACCAAGTTGGCAGACAAAAAAATGATTTTTTTCTGTGCAAAATCCAATTGGTGATATGTATGCTGTGCAAAGGCCACCTGGCCATCCAAGCTTGGATCTTGTGTCTCAAAGCCACTGATGGCTGCCCATTCTTTTGCATGTGCATATATTTTTGATATGGCTGCCATTTCAATGTTTCAAAACCAGCCCAAAGTGCCAGCACCCAGCTGCACCACTATATTTGTTCCACACCTGCGCCATGGTAGAGATCAGCAGCAGGGTGGAGCTCAAATTCCAGGATGAGAAGCCCATCTGCTTGCCCAAAGACCTGATCATCCAATTTGATGGCCACCAATACCTCAAGCTGAGGCCAACTAGCTTCCCCATAGTCCAATTCATCCATGGAGGCAAAGTTGCCAAGAATGCCAGCTTGTCCTCTTCCACCACACTGAAAGGATTGATCCAAGCCAGGGATGACCAGTACCAAGGCAATGTGCCCCAAGAGGAAGGCCAAGAAGCACTTTTTGATGATGCCAATGGGCCAGCTGCTGGTTCCAAAAGGCCATTGGACCAATTGGAAGAACCAGGCACCATAGTGCAAATAGATTGCAATGGAACCAGCATTGATTGCTTGATGGTGGGAAAGAGGCCAGCCAGAACAGATTTTACTTTTTTGTTGGAGGCCAGCCAAGTTGAAGCCATTGTGATGGCCATGAGAAAAACTTCTACCAAGGATTTGGAAATGCCTACCAGGGCATATAATAAGGATGCCAAGAGAGCCAAGAAGGAATGACCTGCTTCATGTTAAAAGGAAAACTGGTGACATTGCTTCTGTATTTTGTTACAAATTCAAAGGCCATTTGGCCATACAAAATATTTGCTTTCCATAGCCAAGCACAATGAAACCTGGATAACCAGCCATGAATGCTTTCTGCCTTTGGCTGCTTCCAGCTGCCCACTACATGTTGGAACCATGAAATACAAACAAGTGCAGAAACAATTTTGGCAAGTCTACAACACTTCTGTTGCAACTCCTTTTGCCAAGCCATGGCTGTGCCACCTGCTATAGTCCAGGCTGTGAATGGCATCCTGGACTCCAACCAGCCCATTAACCAAAAGCTTCAGAAGGTGATTGAGAAGTTGGAAGCCAACAATTTGGTGCAGAGGCAAATTTTGTTGCCAAGCCAAATTCTTTGCCATCCTCAGAACAGAGGTGGGGCCATGCTTAGCTTCCATGATGTGTGGGCAAAAGGAGCTGCTTTGACCAATGTTGGTATCCAGAGAGCTTTGCTGGAAGATGCCATCTGCATCCAAATGGCCAAGGACCCTGTCAAAAGATCCAATCAAGTTGCCAAGAACCAGCAGCTCACTGATGAGGCCAAAGGTTTTCTGCCACCATTGGCAGGCACAGAAAGTTTCTTGGCCAATAAGCATGTTTTATTTCCACATAGCTTATAGCACATATATAGAAGCAATGTGTTAGTTTGCCCCATGCAGGTTACCTCAGCCTGGGATGCAGCCACACAGTGGCATGGCTTCGCTGTGTGGAAGCCAACATTGCTGGCCCAGATGGAATTCCAGAGTTGCCCAAAAGTGACCCAGCTTGGGATTGCATTGCCAAAGGTTGGAAGTGGATAGTTTTGGCGCCAGAAGTGGAAGATTCCATACCTACACTACCATCATGGACCCAAATGGCACTGAACAGTGGAAACAGCATTGGGAAAGCCATTGGTGAGCTTGAGGTGGCTTGCCTGATGACTCACTTTTTCAACCAAGGCTTGGACCTTTCCCAGGCATGCCTGAATGCCAGCCAGGGAGACCAGAGATGCAAGGAATCAATTCCATTCATTGCCATCTATGTCCAGAAGTTTGCAGGAGGTGCACCAAACTTCCCCATCATCAATTTCCTCAGCAGGTTCTCCCAGCAGTTCAATGCAACCTTGTTGATGGGCCAAGACTTCTTCCAAGGGTTGACAATGCTTGACTTCAAGCAACCTGATTGTGTTTACCCTTTCATCAGGGCCAGTGCATGGGCCACCATGCTGACAACCAGCAAGTCTAGTGATGGGTATGCCAAATTGCTTCATTGCCATGACCTGGACAAGCTCAAATCCAACAATATTTTTCCCAAAGTTCAGCTGGCAGAGAAGATGCTAACAGATTCATGGAAGACCATACAAAACTGCTTGAAGGATAGGAGCCACAGTGAGAGCCACACCAACAAGTGCTTTGGAAGGATGGCAGTGAGAACCATGCTTTTCTTGACAGGCAAGCAGAAATTTTCCAGGGAAGGCAAGGAGTTTGAATCCTTAGAATCCATTTTGGAAGCTTTCACAGAAGACATGAAAAACCCAAATGAAAAAACACAGGCAGCCAAGGCAGAGAAGAGCTACCAGTGACAGATGTGGTGAATGCCAAGCCAAAAGAGTTGGTGTTGCTGCAGAACAGCCACATCCAGATTGATGGTTTGTGCCTTGGCTGCTTGATATTTTTAAACTTTGAACATTGTGCCTGTTGAAGCCATAAAGAGCAAAAGGTATATCTGACATTCTTGTGCCATGCTTTAGTCTAAAGTGAGGTACTGTTACCCCAAGAAGCATGGAGCCAAAGTTTTCCAGCTGCTGTCAGTGGATGACCAGAAGGCAGTCTTCCAGCATAGAGCCATTTTGGCAGACCAGCCAGAAAATGTGGATGTAGATCACCAAGATCTGAAATTTTGGAAAGTCACCAAGAACAAAATGCCAATGCAGTGCCCCTTGCCAATTGCACAGATGCATATGCCTGGGCTGGTGGTCCAGCAAGATTTTGAAAAGCTTCAGGTGTCCATGGTGCTCCACCAGGCATACACAGCCCACCAGGTGAAGCCAGACCAAGTTTCCTTTTCAATCTATCCAAGTGGCTGTTATACCCTTCAGCCAGTGAAGAAGAAGGCTTTGAAGCTGATCCCATTGGGTATGGTCACCAAGGCCAAGCAAGATGCCAAGCTGAAAGTGGCCATCCATCATTTTGGCAAGGTATGGGCCATCAGCCCTTACAGCCAAAACAACAAGTTTGTTGAGGATGAAAAAACATGTTTGATTCCATTTTGGTGGGTTCAGAAGGGCACATCAGATGCCTACAACATGCAGTGGAGCCATGTCACCCAGGATGGGATCAAGATCCCATGTTTGACAAATGAAACACCATTGGAGAAGAATGAGACACTTATTGTCCAAAAGGAGGAAGCCAATGATGAAGACACTGGTGATCATGCAGGAGATGCTTCCCAACCAAAAAAGAAGGCCAAAAAGACCAAATGATGACCAATTTGTTCATCCAGTACATTGGATGCACAGGGAAAAACCACAGGAAGGTCAAGAAAGATGCTGCAGCTTGAGGTTCCTTTGCCAAAGGCCTTTCTGGCCCTTCATGTATTGAGTGCAAGCCCATGTTTTTCAAAAGCCATTTGGCTATACAACACTGTCTGTGCCAAAGGCCAGATGGCCATCAACTGCAAATTTCTTCACCATACATGTCTGTTTGGTGCACCACTACCATTGAATGTTGGTGTCATTGGCAGCCCAGCACCATGGCCCAAAGAAGAGACACCATCGCGGGCACGATAGATTTGCCCAGATGGAGACTTGTCAAATGGGCCAGTGGTTGGGAGACGTGGTTCCTAGATTGCACTGGTGCTTTTTATACCATGGAATGACTTCCTTGCATGGCAGTGCAGCACCCAGGTTGAAGTACCTAGGCTGTACTTGAGATGCCTTGCTTGCATGGCAGTGCAACACCTAGGCTGGATTACAGCCTGATGAATCCCATGGTTGTGTCCACTGCAGACCCAGATAGAATATACAGGGTGGTGCGCTACCAAAATGGCCAGGAGATTGAGCCACTTGCCTTTTTGTTGGATGTGTGGAGAAGCAAGTCTTAAACATATGTACCCACACCAACTAAAATAAGAAGGGGTGCTCATAGTAAGAGAACCAATTGACATCTATAGGGATATTAAACACATACCTGACAATATGTTCATAGCATGGTGGATATATAGCTATAGATATAATAGTGTATATATGTGTCAAGCATACATAGCTACCATGTATATATATATATATGTGTGTGTGTGTACCTTACAACATTCCAGACAGAATAAACCAAACAAATGTATATACAAATCTATATGTGAAAGCCACCCAACATTTCGAACTTAATTTTATAGTTTTATATATATATATACACTTCTCTCAGCTGTGTGTTTGTTTCAAATGCCTCAAAGCCACATCCTTTTGTCAAAG